GTAGACTTGAAGTAACTTTAACATAAGGATTTATAACGACTGTTTGACCTCTTTTGGCATCGGATTCCTCTTTATAAATATGGATATGAGCATCCCATTTTGAAGGTGTCTGGAGAGGTTGCTGAATTCAATAGATCTCTGTTGTCACTTCTGTGCAGACCATTCAACTTACATCTTCTCTCCCTGGCTGCCTAAGGAGATAGCTGTTCTTTTCAGCCCACCCTGCTTATGCCCCTGGTGCAAGCCTGATATTGGAAAGAATCGATTACTTTTGGTTCCCATTCTTTTATATTTCTAAAGTGAATGAAGTCTCATATGCTAGGGGCAGCCATGGTTCCTCCATGTCAAGACACACTAGGTATTGCTCAAGACTTGGTAGCAAGTCACAGAAACTAATTCCAAGTGAAAAATAAATCACTAGGCTTGTGTAATTATGTTAGAAGCTTCCTTCCTGTAACAGATGCTTGAAGTTAATCAAGTTAGCAAGAGAAGAGGTTTGTTTTGGATCATGGTTGGAGGTACTGGTTCACGGTCCCACAAACCCATTACCATTAGTGGTCCGACAGAGGTACTGAAAGACAATAGCAGGAGACACATGGTAAAGCTGGTAGCAACACAGAAAAAGAACGAGAGACAATCTCCTCCAAGGGCACACCAGTAACCACCTGAAGATGATGTGCTCTGGGGGACACTCCAGACCCACACTTGGGCATTCTGCCTGCAGCCTCCAAAAGCCTATGCAATCTGCTCATCTCTATGAGTTCCTGCAATCTTATTCGTTCTATGATTGTTCATCAGTTCAACTCCAACATCTCAAGGCAAACTTAGCCAATGAGCCTTTATAGAAATCAAACAAGCTGCGCCATTCCCAGGTATAGAGGCACAGTGTAAACATCATCACTGCAAAAGGGAAGTACAGGAAGACAGCAAGAAGCCCAGAAGGGCTAAGACTAAATCTTAACGGCTCCATTTCCAGCAGCATCTGTGCTAAACTCTGGTGAGATGAGAATCTCTGAGGGGCTCTGTGGTCCCCATCCCCAGATTCTGCCCACTGCCTGCAGAGTCTCTTAGCACAATGGTTCTCAATCTGTGCATTGTGACCCACAGGGGGTCATATATCAGATATCCTGCATATCAGAAATTTACATTATGATTAATAGCATAAACAGTGTTACAGTGTGAGGTAGCAACAAAAATGACTATATGGTGGTGGGGGGGTCACTGCAACATGAGGAGCTGTATTAAAGGGTTGCAGCATTAGGGAGGTTGAAAACCACTGTCCTGGCAGATTTTCATTCTGTATTGCAGGTACCTGTGACTTCTTAGGGTCTTCCATGAGCCCTGGTGTCACTCTCAGAGCTTTGGTCAGGGTCTGCTTGCAGAAACTTTGGCCATGATATCTACTGTACAAGTACTCAGTCTTTCTTTTGACTTCTCAGTACAAATAAATGTTTGGGGTTTGTGTGCTTGCAGAACCAGTGTTACATGGAGGGATCAAGGTCTGTTGTATGTGTGTGAACTGTATCTGAGCCTGCCTGGGCCAAGGCTTCCCACTGCCTTGCTGGATAGTGACATGGACATGAATTCCAAATCACTTTTGAGCTCCCTGACTCTCTGGCAGATCTGAGCACTCAAGTGGGGGCATGAACAGACTTTCTCTTCCAGTGCTTTCATCTTGACTTCTTTCCAGGGAGCCCAATTGAGAGCCATAGACTAAGACTAGAGAAAGGATAGTTAGCCAGAGGAAGGTTAGGTGAATTTACATTTCTATGTCTCCTAAGTGGGAGACTTGTTATTTTGCATTGAGCTAATGAGTTATTTTTATGTTTTAGAATTTTTAATTATGTGTATGAATGGTTGCCTGCATGTGGATATATCTATATATATCCACTGTCCATCTATTCTCCTACACAACTGCAAGATCATTGAGTGTGAAGATTCCTATTGCTCTAGTCTTAAGACTTGGTAGGTTTATCACACAGTAGTTCAACAAATTCATCTTTTATAAGCAAACAAGTCGAATGTACTTTTAGGCCCAGAGTGTCTGCCTAGGCCTATTTGGGTTTGCTGACTTTCATGCAACTAACCTAAAAATTTGTAGCTTCGAACTACAAATTGCCCCTGATCTTTGAAGAAAATGCTTTCTAGATGCAAATGGAAGTGGAAAGACAAGGCCTAGTTATTTCTCTAGGCATTTACTCGGAACACCTGGTAACTTCTCATCTGACATCTTCCTTGGACAAGTTGGAAATCAGTTGAAATGCTGAAGGAACAGGTTATCTAAGTAAATGAAAATCCAAATTTTGCTTAAAATAGGGCCAGATGATGATACCTGATCTAGGAAGCCTGGATCAAGGTCAAAACCATTTTGTTTTGTTTTAAACAATGAAGAGTCAGTATAAGGTTAAACACACACAAGGAACTTCGATATTGCAAGACTTGAGGGGATCCCAGGACTGGTCCTGTTTAGTTTGAAACCTGTAAGGATAAATTTTACTTTGTTAATACTTAATAATTCTAATCTCGTAAAATATGAATTAACTTAGATAGATTTGTAAAAGGGAAATTACCGTTTTTACCTGCCACTTTGGAACCTTGTCTACACCTTTGATCAAAGACTAACTATGCTTTGAAAATGAAATATTCTCTTTAGGCATGTGGAATGAAATTCCACCCCTGACCCCCCACCCCAGTTCACATTCTCTGCTTTCTGTGGACTGTCCTCACGTGGAGGGATCAGTCTGTGTTTACTCTGTTCTGACTAGGTCCACCTCCTGAAATCTGATCTTAACTTTCTCAAGTACCATTCTTCATAAATTTTTAATTTAATTAATTATAAATGTAACACAAACAGAACACATGAGGAAAATTACATATAATACCAATGTCTTAAGAGTTATAATCTTTCTAAATATTTCCCTTTACTGTATTTATATGCATATTGTTATATACTTGTAACCATAATGAATAAATACATTTGCAGCTTGCTTTTAAAAAACATCCTTTTAACTGTCTTCTCTTTAGAAGTGAAAGAAAATGGAAAGGGAGACAGGGGAAGAAGACAGAGAATTGGAGAGGTAGAGAGGGGAGTAGGAGGGGATGGGGGGGACGTGAGCGGGGGGGAGGAAGAATTGGTAATGGTTTGGAGGCTGGTGTAGGAGGGTAACAAAACAGTTGACTGTATTTGAGTATCTGCAAAAATCTGTAAAATTAAACACTTTAATCTCGTAGAGAAAAACAGGCAAGGGCAAGAAAGAGGAAAAGACATTCAGAAGACTGGAACTGCCAACGTCTCATTTGTAGAATGTTTGGTTATGGCAAATTTTTCTTGCAGCTAACTGTGTGGTGTTAGCTAGGTAATATTAACTTTTCAAGATTTATACAACTTGCTGTTTCGTTTGGATGTTGATATTTGTTTCCCTTGAACTTCTCGTGAAAAAGAATGACCTCAACTGTCAGAAGGCATAGTGTTCCTTTTGGCTGTGCTCTCAAGAGTCTCAACATTAGAGATCTATGAGACAGACACACTGTATGAAGACAGCAGCTTCTTACATCCATTCCCAAGAGTCCCACTCAAATCTCACTCACTTTGGATCCAGCACTCAGAGCGGTAGTCCTTAGCACTTTTACATCTTGCGCTGGTTTTATTTTGTAAAGCAGTGGCTTCTTTTGTCCTGTGGTAGGAAGTTAGGGTATGCAGAACTTCTAGAAATTCCTAGTGGAATGTAGTTCTGAATCCTGCCAAGGAACATGAATTTTTCTTTGATTTCTAAGGCTGACTTCCCACCCCTGGCATTTATGGGCCTCCTCTCCAATTGCCGGCTTCCAGTTAGGATGTATGCAAGGAACAGAAGGTAAATTAAAAAAAAAAAAAGCTAAAAGCAAACTAGATGCAAGAATACATATGCATTGCTAAGAAACCTATTATACTTTATCACAATCTGATTCTTCTCAATATTATAGATAACAGAATTGACTCAGATTGTTTTCTAGCCTCAACTTCAACAATATCGTCTTCTTTTGGGATTTAACATCTGCTTGTTCATCTTTATTATCTATTTTTTTGGGTGTCCTAACAGAGTGTGTCCTAGGGACTGAACCACCAGGAATCTCTTGTCTGACCCAGGTAGCCGGATTCCTTAGAAAGGAACCCAGTAGAAAGCGCAAGGCTGCCATTTTAACACGAAACCGGCACGTGGCTGGTGCCACCTCCTTCTTCAATCAGCCTCGCGTGCCCAAGAACGCGTGGAAGTTTGAGACCCTGGTGTTGAATCTTGGGCCCGAGTCTCTGTTATTGAGGCAGGCGTCAGCCTTGGCCCCCGGAACCCGTCAGTCCCGGGAACCCCAAATTCCAGCGCCACTTTCGCGACCTAAACGCCCGGTCCTCCCTGTCTGGCCGCCGGGGCTTCCGGGGGCTCGGGGCTCCCAGCAGCGGCCAGGCCCGAGCGGCCCGGCGGGCGGGGGAGGGGCGCGGCGGCCGGGAGCGTGCGCGCGCACCTCACACTCCGCCGCCCGGGGACGCCCACTCGCGAGTCGGGGCGGCAAGCCGGCCCGCGCCCCCCACAGCCGATCCGCTCGGCCCAACCGGTGTCGGCTGCGCAGCCGCTCAGCGCTCCTCGGGCCTCCATAGGCCAGGGACCAGTCCGGGGCCGCGGTCCCGCGCCGCCACCAGCGCGAGCGTGCGAGCCACCCGAGGCCCGGCCCTGTCGGAGCCGCCCTGCGCCCGCCCGAGGCGCGGCTGCTCGCCCGCGCGCGCCCTTCCGCCCTCCCGCCCGCCTCTCCCAGGCGGTGCGAGGAATGAGCCGGCGCCGGTCCCGGGCTGTCGGTCCGAGGGCCGCGGCCCGGCTACCTCGCACGCCGCCAAGGCGCTGGGGCTCGGCCGCCGTGGCTGGGCTTGGCCGGGAAGCGGGCGGCGGGGCTAGCTGAGGAGGAGGAGGAGAAGAAGGAGGAGGAGGAGGAGCCGGGCGGGGGCGGCCGCTTGGCTGAGGAGGAAGTTCCGCTCCTGACAGAGCGCGCGGCGGCGCGGGCGCTGAGGTGTTCGGGACGCCGTCGCCCTCGCGGCCTCGGCTGAGGGTCGCTGCTGCTACGCCCGGCGACGCTGCTTGGAAGCCGCGGAGGCTGAGGAGCGGTGGAGTGGTGGCTCTGGAGGAGACCGAGTGGAACCGACCTACTGCAACTCGTCGTCTCGCCGGGCGCTACCGGGGCGGGCAGCCGCTTCTGAGCATCGCGCCGGGGCGCGGGCATGGCAGAACCCACCTTGCAGCTTCTCTGCAGTGTGGCTCGCCAGATCCACTCCCGGGAATGAAGAGGAGACTCGCGATCACCCGGTGAGGCACGGCGAGCCAAATGGCGAGAAGATCTTACGGGACAGAAACCAGCGATCGCTTGGGAGGTCACACAGGCTTCTGGATGTAATCGGAGAGCATGAAAGAGGTGGCCTCGTAAATAATAATAGAAAAGCACAACAATCCTTTGAGAGGAGGGAAATTGAGTTTATTTATTCATTTTTTGCCGAGATTTTGAGAAATGGTTCGATGTGTTGTACATTTGATATAAGATGAGAACTTTATAAAGTATTTCGTCCAAGAGCCTAAACGATGACTACCCCAGCGCTGCTGCCCCTTTCTGGTCGTAGGATACCACCTCTGAACCTGGGGCCTCCCTCCTTCCCCCATCACAGGGCTACCTTGAGACTCTCCGAGAAGTTTATCCTTCTCCTCATCCTTAGTGCCTTCATCACCCTGTGTTTTGGGGCATTCTTCTTCCTTCCAGACTCTTCAAAACACAAACGCTTTGATCTGGGCTTAGAAGATGTGTTAATTCCTCACGTAGATGCCGGCAAAGGAGCTAAAAACCCCGAAGTCTTTCTGATCCATGGACCCGACGAACACAGACACAGGTTCGTTTGTTTCTCAAATTCTGGTACTCCCTTTTGGGAGAGCAAGGTACAGCTCGCTGCTTTCTTGTCTTTTTTACCCCCCTTCCCTCCAGCCTTGGCCCCAGTAAATGATCAGGGTGTTGAACGTTGTTGGTTCAGAGGTGCCTGGGTAGAACTATAGACTGGAAGGACAGTCCTAGGGTTCCTTGTTTTTTCCCCCGGCAGAACGAAGTGTTCAGTCAGACTCGTCTGCTCTGGACAGCAGGGAGCGGAGATACAGGGATTCAGCGTGCGCACATTGAGAACGTGTTGCCTTCAGCCTTTCTGCCACTATGTGAAGTCACTGAATCTTGACAGCTTGCTAGACTTTTCTCATCCACCAAGTCCCAATCTCTGGCTTGTTCTCTGATTTTTTTTTTTAAATGTTAAAAGGTGGGGGTGTGTATATCCCTAACTACTATAATTTGGTCAGTTAATCTGAACTGAGCCCTTGACGGGTTATAGTCAAGATGAAATGAAATGGAAACTCTGCCTTTAAGTCATTTCTAGATTTTTACCTAAAAGGAGACTTTGGAGGCAATTCTTTTTTCCAAACGGTTCTCTCCTCTCATAAGCTAATTCTTGAGTGTGTGAGAGAGAACTATGTATGAGATTTGACCCGAATGTAGAACCCCTGTAGAAAATTAGTAGTGGGAGGATTTTGAAAAAGTCTAGGATCAAATGTGAGTCTAAGTTAAATATTTGGGACAATACATTGTTGTAATGAGGGCTTTCTCACTTTGTTAGAATGATTACTTGCTTGGTAGTTCATTGACTGTTGGCCTTACCTTATGGAGTACTTCTAATACAGTTTCATACCATTTTTGTATAATTTGGGATTTTTTGTATTTTCAGGTTACATACTTTTAGATTTTTTTTTCTTTAAAACTTCCCTTTGCTTTGTAACTTTCAGTTACAAAATTTTGGTCTGGGAAATATTTGCTGAAAATAAAAAAGCTGTTTTTCTAGAAACCTGATTTCCCATGGTGTGTATATATGATATGATGAGCATTTGGAAAAAAAAATGTATCTAAGGCAGGCCTCAAAGCTCTTCTGCAGTGATGTATTAATGTCATTTAGCTATTATGGTCTACTGTCGTGTACTAATAAGTGGCTTCCTTTATATTATGTATGGGTAGAAGTTTTAAATTGCTAATTTTTACTTTAAAATTTATTTTAAGAGAGATAAGAAAAGTTCTCAACTAGTTGAAGTTAAAATACATTTGAATGAGAGTGTAGATATGTCCATTTTACTGTACAAATTCAAAAAATCTGCTTAAGTCTTGTAAATAACAATTCTTAAACTTCACAGCCCAGGAATATACATATATTAGGATCCAGGGATATGTATATATCTGTTGTAGTTATTCAGAACACCTGGATCCTGAGTTTGGCAATGGAAACAGAGTTCTAATGGCTAAGGGGTGGTTAGTGAGCTGCAGTTTTAGTTTGGGATAGGAAGAGTCAGGGTGGCAAATGACATTAAATGATAATGTGATTTGCTTGGTTCCTGAGTCAAATAACCAGAACTCAGGTATGGGGAGTTGAAGCAGTGAGGTTCCACAGAGCAACCTCACTATGGCTGTGGCAGGGGCAGTTTGTGTTTCTCTTTGTTTACTGCTTTGTTGTTGCTTCCTCTCACCTGAAAACAGTCTGTTTGGAATAATTTTACTTTGAGCAAGGAATATATTTAAAATGACAGAAACTGATGTGCAAACATGAACGTGATTAAAAATAATTCAGAAAGGTAGTTTTATAGAATTAACTAAGAACTATTAACTAAGACTAGTTTATAGAATTAACTTTGTAACTAAGATTATACTTATTTTGTGTGTAGTATCTTAGAAGGCAAAACTTGTGTGTGTGTGTGTGCGTGTGTGTGTGTGCATGTGTGTGCATGTGTGTGCATGTGTGTGCATGTGTGTGCTGCTAGGGACAGAGTTGAAGAGCCTCATTACTAGGTAATTGGAGGCAAATCGAGAGCATTATTTCTTATTACTAGTGTTTAAGAGATACTTCTTGGGATAATATTTCTTTATGAATGCATAGTGTAGTACCTTGGGGTTTTAGTTTAGTAGTTAGTCGTTTTACATTTTCCACTGACTAAAATTTGTGATTTTTTTTTTTGGGGGAGCTAATTTTTATTCAGCTCAAATTGTTTCCTCTGTATGACAGTGACATCTACTTTATGGATTGTACTGAATGAGATAATACATGCAGAGTCCTCAATAAAGTTCATAGTTTCAGCCAATTATCAATAATACTTAGGTATTATCACTTATTATAATTGGAATGTTTGAATTCTGACTTTGCTTTAAGTATTTTATGTTTCTGAAGAGCTAGGTACAGTTTGGTAAATATTTTAAGAGTACACCAGAATGTTACTATCAAAAGGAACATCTTCTAACTACATTATTTTATAACTAAGTTATTAACAACAAATAACCTATTCAGACTGTATATCTAGAGCCTCCTGTGTGGATGGGCTAATGATTCAGTAGATGATTTTGGTTTGGGGTGTTAGAAAGTTGTACTCAGAGCAACCAGAATTTGTAGGGAGTGACTGTCTAGCATTTGGAGTGGGGGTGGAAAGAAATGAGAATAGGCAGGTTTCATTGAAGGAGAAGGGGTTCTGAAACAGTGAGAAAAAGAAAACTAAATGAAGCAGTGATGGGAAGAGGCGTTGTCAAACAGGCTGTACAGGAGAGGCCTAGTGGAAAAAGCCTGGTGTCCTTACGGGTGCAAGAAATGTTCCTGTGACTGATGTGGTGGACAGTGTAGTTGTGTGGCCAGGTGAAGAGAATAGCCAGGGCAGGTGTGGATTTACAATTCCTGTCTATCCCCTAGTTACAGAAGGTTGAATTAGTTGCTGGCATGCACAAAGTGGGAGATTCATGTGACAGTCTAGATTTCTGGCTTTTCTTAAAAGAATTTGAGACTTAGAGCAACACTCAGGTGTCTATTTTCCGATTGGCTAACACTCAGTTGGAATCTCGCTCCCTCTTGACAGGCATGCGCTCTCCATTTTATACCACTCACTTAAGGTGTCAAGTAACATAATAAATCAATGCTCAGCCTGCTGATAGTTAAGTTTACATCTCTAGGCTGGACTCAAGGGTCTGTTGCTAAGTATTTTGGTCTTCATTCTGAGTAGCTGCTGGGAAGTCGATGAAGCAAAATGAAAAAAAAAATCATTTTATATTTAAAAAACAAAACCAATTACTTTTGTGTAGGACAACCAAGGTTGAGGGTCTAGGACACAGTATATTGACTGTGGCTATAGTAGTCATACTGTGAGAGAAGATAAATTAGTGAGAAATGAAGTTGAATTAAGTTTTAGAGACCTGGGATTGGCTGAGGATAGAAGTTAAGGTAGGAGGAGGTAGTCAAAAATAACTTCTGAGTTTCTAGTTTGTATGGTCTTGGATTAATAAAAACTGTTTTTTCTATTAATGCCTTTATTTTTATTATAACTTTTGCCTTATTTAATAATGATTCTATGTGAAGTTAGTATTTGCTTGAGGCTACCTTAGCATGTTCCCTTTTGTTACGTAGCTTACACAGTTTTTACACAGTTTTTCGATAAACTTTTTATGTGATTATGAAGCATTTTTAAAGTGCCAATCAACTCTCAAGGTGATAATAGCACAAATTGTGCTAATAGTTTAAAATTACATTTGTGATTTTTAAATCACCACAAATAGGATAGTGCACATTAATGTTATTACAGAATATACTGATTTACATAAAGTGTATCTTTCTAACTGGTGTATAGTTTCCTTTCACTTATCAGTCTTTCATTTTGAAACTGACATTGCTTATGTAATGACATTATACAAATGAGATTGACCTCCCATGTGTTTGTTTAAAACATTTGAACATATATTTGTAAATTATCCTTTAATCAGGATCATGTTAGTTCAAATTGAATACTTGAGAGTCCTGTGTGTTTATTTCTAATAGCTCCCTCCCTCCCT